ACATAGGGACAGAGATTGGATTGGTGGTTACCAGAGGGGAGGGGGCGAGGGAGGAGGGGGACGGACCCATTTCCCCACCTGCACTGGCCATTTTCAGTTAGTACTTTGATCTGGTGAGTTCTTTTTGGCACTGTTCAAGATTATTTGTGAAAATGATTCCTGCCTCCTTGTGTTGTATTGAATCTGCCTATTTTGTAATCAATGTCACATTCAATAAGCCTATTCCCAGTTCGTTTATCTGGCCCAGTGATTTTCCTGGATGTTCTGAGGAGGCCTTAGTTTCCTCAGGGGGAGGCTGGTGGATGGAACGCCCACCTCTCCACCCCCACTCCATCCCCCTGCACCCCCCCCCCACACACACAGACACACACACACACACCCTTCAGCCAGGGGAGCCTGCTTCTTCCATCTTACAGATGTGGAGCTTCCGTAAAGAATTTGTTTAGGAAAATAAGTGCTCCTTGGCTTATCAAGTCTGGACCCTGCTGCTCTGGGCCGGGAGTCCAATAGACTCTGATACCCACCTAGGGGTCCTTGCTGCGTCCTTGTCTCACAGCCTCTGATAAGCCGTCTTCTCAGCTTTTATCCACTTTCTGGGAACTAGACCCCAACCTGAGAAATCGGTTGCAGTATGAACTCCTCTTCCATTTAATTATTCCTCTTTCCTCTTTATGTTGGGAATTCACTGCACATTAAGATGTGAGGGGGCTAATTCTCCTGGTTGGCGTCTCTGCAGCAGGGCGCACGAGCCCCCCCTTTCCCTAATGGGACGTGGCCTGTCACCAGTGCCATGGCGACTGCCTGCGGGTGGACTGTTGATTTTATCACCTTTTCAGGTATTGCCATGAAGCTGATTGGACTGGAATTTTCAGTGTCCTTCTGTTTTCCCTCTGCAAACATTTGCCCTTTACCAGAACTCAGACATTTTTCATCTTATTTCCACAGTTTCTCAGAAGTCACGGCTAGTGGCCGTCTGATGAGACACGGCGGTTCCTAAGTTACCCGTGGTGCGGGCTCAGCAGACCCAAGGCTGGACGGTTCTGTCAGACAGCTTCTTCCTCTGTGTCATTTACTTTTCCATTTCCCCAAAACCACTTGGACCTACTTTCTTGAATTGCCCGTATTTTAACCTTTTTGAAGAGAAGCGTGATGAAAGTGTAGGCTGAGTTAGTTGACTTAGTCGTCTTCGCTGTCTGTCAGGGGTGGTTTCCTGGGTCCTTTCTGTTGGGAAGTTTCCGAAACTTCCTACTTCCGTATTGCTCTGATTCATCTGGGACCTGTTTGATCTTTTCCTGACACACGCACACCTGGATTTCCCCGTGAGGCTGATCTGGTGCTTTGGTCTTCATCGTGTCCCAAAGTCCCGGTCTCGCTTCTCAGAGCCTCAGCTGCCCTTCAGAGCCCCACGTCTCTGGGATGCCTTGCCCTAAGGACCGCCCCCGGAGCACATCCTTCTGGCGATGCTGTCTTAGAGGGCCGGTCTGAACGTCTCACACATCACTCTGCCCTTCCCTTGGCGTCGGGGCTGCCCTGGGCCCCAGAGCTGCTTTTCTTAGAGAAAACCATGCTACCATCACACCTGGTCCACAGACTCAGAGAATCTCAGATGGGAAGGGGCCCGAGCAGTGAGGCAGCCCAGACACCCACCCGAGGCTGGAATGTCTTTATGATAACCCTGTGAGGGCTGGGCCGGCCTCTGCTGGATCACCTCCAGGGATGGCGAGCTCACTCGCATCTCCCGAGCACAGCCCCTTCCCTCTTTGGCTGGCTCTGACTGTTCATCAGTCTCCCTGTGGCTTCTGCCGCATCATCCTGTGAAGCAGCCCAGGCCTACCCCTGGCAGTGCTGGCACTTTTGCCAGCACCACTCACATGGCTAGAAGAGGGTGGCTCCCTTCTCTCCCCACACTTGTTCTGGGCCCCCTGTCTTTACGGATGAGGAAAATGAAGCTCAGAGAGGTTAGGCAGCTTTCTTTAGGTCCCAGAGCAAGGAAGTAGTATTGTGGAGGTTTAAATCCAGATGGTTCCTCAAAGAGCAGAGTTAGCTTTAGTCGTGGAAAGGACATCTCTTCCACTATAGGAACATAAACGAGTGAGTGGATAGGTGCCAGTGGAGATAAAGATGTATGTGGTTAGGGAAGAAGATGAGGGCACGTTTATATGATGGTCTTGACTTTCTTAGAAAAGAAGTAGGTGCAAACTTTGGTATGAGGTAAGGCTGTCCTGAAACAAATGTCACCACAGGCTTCATCAATGTAAAAAGTCGAATGTAAGCTCTATGAGGGCAGTCTTACGTGGCATGTTCCTAATGTCTCCAGTGCTGATCATAGTACCTGGCACATAGTAGATGCTTAGAAAATATCTGTTGATGGTATGAATATATTGGTAGAAAAAGAAAAAATAAATAAATAAATAAATAAATAAATCCAGATGGTTCCTGACTTCAGAGCCCACAATCCTTCCCCCCCAGGACACTGCCTTTGTTAATATGTCCAGTTGACCTTGAAAGGCCAGGGGATGAGAGCAGTGGTATGGAGCCTGGTCAGCTTCTGCCTGCCTTGTTTGGCCTCTGAAGTTTTCTTATCTTTTTAATTTTTTTTCTGAAGTAGGAGCTACTGCTGATTTTATTAGCTCCTTGTCAAAATGGGTGTCTTCTTAAACTTTTTGCTGTCAGATTTCATCACCTTCTTTCATTTCTGCAGTACCATGGCCCCACATCACAGACAGGGAACCAGGGCCCCAGGGAGGTCATCAATTTACCTGGAGACTTGCAGAGAGGCTGGGATCAAACCTGTCCCTCACCCC